TTAGAAGAAAACGAAATGCTTTGAATGCTTTAATAGTTGATGGGAATATTACTCATGATCCAACTGTTATCAAGGCCAAGGTCAAATATCATTTTTTCAAAATTTTCAATGATCGGTCTACTTTAGACGTTGAGGATATTGATTTGGTTTTTCCTAGAATTTCACTCGAACAGAATATGCTTTTGGAGAAAGATTTTTCCGAGGAGGTTTGGGAGACTATAAAGTCTTGCGGCAGTAATAAAGGTCCGGGCCCCGACGGTTTGAACATGGGTTTTTTTAAAAGGTTTTGGTCTGTTCTTAAGGGAAACATTATGCAGTTTTTTCACAGATTCTTTGTGGGGAAGGATTGGGAACATGGTATTAACCATACTTTTATCACCCAAATTCCTAAGGAATCAAACATTGGAAGCCTTGATGATTATAAGACCTATAAGCCTAGTAGGAGGAGTTTATAAGATATTATCCAAGTGTCTTGCAAGGAGGCTCAGAAGTTGTATAGGAGATATTATCAGCCCGACTCAATTTACTTTTATACCCGGTCGACAAATTTTGGATTGCTCTCATTGCTAACGAGGGTATTGATTATTGGAGGAAGAAAGGGCTAAAAGGTTGTGTTTTTAAAGTTGATTTTAAAAAGGCATATGATACGGTTGACTGACCTATTTTGTTCAAGGTGATGGAAAAGATGGGATTCAGTTTCACTTGGATAAGTTGGATTAGGAAATGTGTTTCTACAGCTTCAATTTCTGTTTTAGTCAATGGGGTTCCATCCGAGGAGTTTCCAATGGCCAAGGCTCTTAGACAAGGATGTTCACTCTCACCTTTATTATTTAATCTAGTTATGGAATTACTGAATCTATTAATCCGAAGGGCTGTTTCTAAGGGATTATTTTCTGGTATGACAGTTGGCAAGGAAGGGTCCTTTAATCTTACGCACTTGCAGTTTACGGATGACTTAATTATTTTTTGTGGAGCTTCGAAGACTCAAATTATGAATGTGAAGAGGGTGCTTAGAGTATTTGAGGTTAAGTCAGGGTTGTAACGAAACCTTAAGAAAAGCAAATTGTTCGGGATTAATATTCCCCAACAGGAGGTTAAGACTTGGGCAGATTCTATTGGTTGTACAGTGGGAAACTTCCCCTCTAATTATTTAGGCCTCCCTCTAGGTGCTACTAAGAATTCCTCTGTGATTTGGGAACCAATGGTGCAGAATTTTCACTCTAAATTAGCAGGTTGGAAGGCTGCTACTCTATCTTTAGCAGGGAGATTGGTTTTGATCAAATCGGTTCTTTCCTCACTGCCTACGTATTTTTTATCTTTGTTCAAGATTCCAACTTCTATCCTTAAGTCTCTCAATTCAATTATGTCTAAATTTTTATAGGGAGGGGGTGGTAATAAGAAGATACACTGGGTTAAATGGGATGATGTTTGCAGATCAAAGAATAAGGGAGGTTTGGGAGTTCGGAATCTGATTTGTATGAACAGGGCACTGCTAGAGAAATGGTCTTGGAGGTTTGCAAATGAGAGAAGTTATGTTTGGAGGAATTTTATTTGTAGCAAATACAACATTGATTCTTCCAGATTACTGTTTGATAGCAAGATTTCTACCCAATCTTCCCGGTTATGGAGATCAGTGGTTAATAACCAGTACAAACAAGACTCCTTTGGTTCTAAGTTTCGTAGTTTGTGCAATTTTCACGTTGGAAATGGTAAGCATGTTCGATTTTGGCAAGACAGCTGGGCTGCTGATTTTCCGTTTCAGATTCTGTTTCCTAGACTGTTTTCGCTTTCTACTAATAAATATGGTAAACTTTGTGAGTTTGGGGAATTTCTTTCTTCGGGCTGGATTTGGGATGTTCAAGTTCGAAGAAATTTAAATGATTGGGAGCTTGAACAATGGTGTAATTTGGTGAGCATCATTTCTTCTTTTTCTCTATCTCTTGATTCTAGTGATGGTTTGATTTGGAAAGGCAGTGGGGACGATGTTTATACAGTCGGTTCTTGTGTTGAGAGGTGTGGATCAGGTTCAGAAGATGTTCATTTCTGGAATAAAATTGTTTGGAGAGGATTGGTTCCCCTAGAGTTGAAACATTAGTGTGGCAAATTGTGCTTCACAAAATTGCTGTTAAAACCGAATTGGTTAAAAGAGGTGTTCAAGGTATTGAGGATGAGTTATGCACTCTTTGTAGAATGGTTGAAGAAACTTCATCGCATCTATTCTTTTCTTGTTCGGTTGCGTGGTCTTTGTGAAACAAATTTCTAAATTTTTGGAGGTTTAGTTCTGTGTTTCCTGCAGAAGCAAAAAGTTTTCTTCTAGCTTGGGATGAGTTGAAATCCAATTCTGCAATATGGACTTTCATTCCTGGGGCAATTATTTGGTCAATCTGGAAAATCAAAAATTTTATTGTTTTTGAAGGGGGAAAGCTTAATCAGTCTGAATTATTTTTCTTAACAAGAGTTAGGCTGGCCTCTTGGTTTCTAGCAAAGAATAAGGATGTTTCTATTACTAAAGACTCTTTAATTTCTGATCCTTCTATAGGGGATTCCTATTCGTCCTACAATTTCTTGAAGTCTTCTATAATCCCTTGGTTACCTCCCCCTATGGGTTTCGTCAAGGTAAATGTGGATGTAGCCACTAGCAGTGATTGGAAGGAATCAGGTCTTGGAGGTCTTATGAGGGATCAATCTGGTGCAATCCTAGTTTCTTTTCAGGAGCCAGCTGGTTCAGGACCAACATTGAAGGAACTTAAAGCTATTCAAAGGGGTATTTCTTTCTTTGCCTCTTTTCAAGGGAGGGTTAAAGATAGGCTGATCGTTGAGAGTGATTGCAGGGTTGTAGTAGACTGGATAAATAATGTTGACTCGTGTCCAATTGTATATGGTTTTATTGTTAGAGATATTGTTGATAGTCTTAGAACTTTCGAGGGGGTTGTTAGATGGGTTGCAAGGATAGCGAATATGGATGCTGATGCTTTAGCAAAGGCTGGTATAGGTTGATTTTTATGTTGTTGGCTTCTTTGGTTTGGTTTTCTGGCTCCTGTATTGTTTGTAAGGGTTTTTTGGAATAGTTGTTCCAAGGTTGTAATTCTATTTTCTATAATGAAATTATAAGGCACTCTTTTCCTCCTTCCGATGATTAAGAAGCTTCTATACAAGCTCCATTAATCAAGAATGAGGTTTTTAATGAGGCCTTCAAATCTTATCAAAAAAAAAAGATAAATTGGAACTAATGGTCAATTTATTAGTTTTATCCAGGAAAAAGAGTGTTATTTATGATGATAGTAACTTAATATTCAAATAAGATTCCTCTCATGTAGACTCTTTTAAACCTTTTTCACTCATTTTCTTTGTCAACTGTAGTTTCACACGAAAATGGGGTTCTGGAAGAAGCTCTGTCACCATTCACAATGAAGTCTACCAAGTGTTCTAATGTTAGAAGGGAAAGAGAACCATATGACAACCCATTTATGCACTTGAACCAGATCCAGAAACTACGGCTGCACTTTTTTTTCGTTCCCTTGTAGAATGAGAGACAATGTAGTAAATCTTTAGTTTGGATTTAGGGTTTGTTTTCTTTGTATAAGATTTTCCTCATCCTGTATTAAATTTGACTTTAAGATAAAAGCATGGATACTTCTTCCACAAGAGTTCCAATAATCAGGTATGTTTCAAACATGGCTCCAACATATGAAATATGTGTTAGACACCGGAGAACATGCCAAAGAAAGTAAAATCAACAATAGTCAAAATGTTTGAATGCACCTGGACACATACGGGCACAGCCAGAAAAGTATGAACAAGGCTAACACGCAATGAAGTTTCTTTTTCTTTTGGGTGGGTGTTGTTTGGGGGGGGGGGGGCGGGTTGTTCAGTTTCCCGCAGATACTAAAGTACTAATGAGTATAAGCCCACAACTAAGGTAGTCAAATACTTGAGATTCATAAAAGAAACAAAAAATAGCATAGAGAAAATTAACAAGGAGATTTTGGTGTTGGCAAACATGGAGTATAAGCAAAGCATCAACCTAAACAAGAACTGACACATATGAAAAGAATTCTCTTGACGAGTAATTTATTTATTTTTGAATAGTTGAATAATTTAGTGTGTGATAAATTAGGCTCTTTCAGCCTTGAGTTTGAGTTATTTGATTCTAATGGATTTTTAGGTTGAAGCTTTTAGATTCAAAACTAATTTATCTGCATGAAAAAATTTGATTGAGAACTATGAATGTTACAATTTTACAGAATATTATTACATAAAAAAAATACTATTTTCATTTCTTACTATACCCATGTAATTTTCTAGAAATTTTCATGTGGTCATATCCATGTCATGTTGTAGCGATCCAACATATGCCAAATGACCACGAAGCAAAGCAGTGAGGAACTTTCAAAATTTTAAAAATTTCCATGTAGCAGTCATCCCACATTAGCATTGTCAATGCCATAAAACCCCCCACCACCCCTTGATGCAATCTCACATTTAAATAATCCAAACGGAGAACACCTAACGACCAGCAAATAAGCTCGCTCACTACATCAGCTAAGTCAACACCTCAGCATTGGGTCAACATTTGAGCCAGCAGACTCGACGAAGGAAAATTAACTCTATTATCAATTGAACTAAAATTATTGTGAAAAAGCTGATGTAGAATAATTCTCAAAATCGGTGCAGAGGGACTAACTCTGCACTACGGCCCAAGTAAAGTGATCAATAGTACAATTTGACTCATTCATGCATGGAGTTTCAATAACCAATATTAATGATGAATTGAGTTTAGGCGCGACCAGATACCGTAATGCTCTGTTTTACCATTATTTCCCCTCTGCTAATTTCTCTGCTCCTTACCCATTTCCCTAAGATATCCCGTCTACCTTTCCTTTCTCCAACTCTATTCCACTCATCCCCTATTCCACCTCGACTGAACAGCAAAGTCAATTATCTGAAAGGTGATCACACAACAACTAAAAACATGAAAACAAAATAACATCAGCATATACCTCAATTAGGGGTTCTGTAAAGTTGAAGTTAAGATGTCCTGCTGAAATGAGATGTACATCTGTAATTAGGGAGTTGTCCATCAGAGCATTCAGCTCTTGTTTTCTAATTATCTCCATTTCAAACTTCCAGGGTTCGAGAAAAGGCTCCCAGAAGACCTACAACAAGTGCAAGCAGTGCAGCTAGGAACATAAGCCATGTTTAAAGATATAATATACAATAGCAATAAATATTATATACCACAATACCTTGTGAACATTATTGTAATTCACTTGGAGATCACACGCAACTGCACTTTCCATGCTGTTTTGAGTAACGCTAGCACGTAATAGTAAGTTCCTCAGAAGAATTTCCAAAAGTGGTCCACTACAACTCCACTGAAAAATATAATAGCAGAAGATATATATTACAGATAAGAACATAAGCTAATAAATAAAATGGTAAGATATGGCCAACTCAACCACATAGAGTGGTTTAGTTTTTTTGATAGATAGAACACAGTTATTTTAATTAAAAAGAAATGAAAATAAAAACATGCGTAGATATCTGCCTAGTTGCAATACATATAGTTTATCTCAACAAATACAAATTTTGAGAAGCAGCCAAACGACAACGCTATTTCTCATAACATGTACTTGGAAAGAATATCATGCCTTTCTATCTCTCACATCACTGGTGGTGGAAGTGTGATTTAGAAAATAAGTATAAAAACTTGAAATTAGAACATTGACCCACACCAGATCTAGTCATCACATCCAACACATCATGCAAACTCTACATATAGAAGGCAAATTTATTGACAGAATTGAGGTATGTGAATTAATCTACAGTTAACAACTTTTAAACAACAAATAGCACAGAGACATACACATAAAGATGTATACAAGACAAGAATGAGGCTTAATGCATCATCAGAAACCATTTTTCAACAGAAACAGAATGCAACAACAAATAGAGCATACACAATAACACCAATTAACTCTTCCCAACTACAAGTTCCACGGTTCAAAGTCAAGAAGATATAGTAGTAAAGTTACCCTTCCATCAGATAGCATAAGAGAGCCCCTCCTTAGCTGGATCTTGAACTCCATACTTCCAAAGTTATACTGAGATCTTGATCCAGGAACATCAAATCTTACATCACGCAAGAAAAAGAATATTTGATGTGATAACCATATGTCCAGATGGTCACATTGAATCCCCAGATTGGCTTGTACTGCCTTTTTATGAATATTGCATATTTCAGTATCCACATTAACTTGAAATATATGGAAGAGAGGCAAATAGTTGGCATTATCATCGCCTTGAGAACCCACGGAACCACTTGTTTTTCCTAAAATGCATTTGAACTTTGCATTTTTACCAGAAATAATTAGTTCAGTACTTTTGCAGTGTGTCGTAAATGTCAAAAGTTTACAATGCTTCCCTTTAGTGCCAGTAGAAGAAACATTCTGCCAGCCTTCCTCAGTGAACACCACTTCAGTAATTTCTCCAGAAACATGCATTGGAAAATAAACCGTAATGCCAATATTTTCAGACCTCAGGATAAGAACTGTTTTCTGCATCATGCTAAGTGGCACATTACTTGAGGCACTTAACACTTTATCAGAAATTTGAGGAACATGTTCTGATGCATTATGAGATGGATGAGTCCTATTCATGGCTGAACTGCCAGGCAATGAATCCAACTTTGTAGTTTTGGTAAGTTTTTGCCCATAAGTATAAAAAAGGTCAAGGACCTCAGTCCAGTCGGAACAATGTAGCCAGATGTTAAGAGAAGGAAGACAAATACAGAAGTCATTTTGGTATGGATCGGATTTTGAGAAAGAAAGATCAAGAACTGACGTGGTTGAGGAAGTATCAGAACAGCGTGCTAGTATATCCGAATTTGGCAGTGACGATAATTTTAACGAGAAAAAATTTAAAACCAAGTTCATGTGCATCTCATTTATCAGAGACATGGAGCAAATAAAGTTCATTTCAGCTTTAGCAACTGGCTCAAGCGTGTCTTTCCCCAAGCGATTCAATTTTATCAAGAGTGATTCAACATAACATCTGACTTCAATAAAGGTCAAGGAAGACTCTACAAGTGAAACTGCCCTATTTTCCTTTTGCAACCTCCTTGACCGTAGAAACTGTAAAGCATCAGATGTGTAAGCTTTTGATTCATCGTGAAGAAGGGAAAATTGGTCTATGATTTCCAGTAGCGCTTCAAGCCCATCAAAGAAGTAAAAATCTGTCAAAATGACCTAGAATAGATTAATCAAGCAGTATCATAGAATAATGTAGTAATAACAAATTGAAAAAGTGAGGGGATTATTCTGTATTTATCTTACCATCAATAAAAAATTGACAATCACCAATCCTTGACATGATACATGTGTAAGCAGAATAATTTGCAGAAAGGCATTCCAATTCACTAGGTATTCTGATCCAAAAATCAGCACTGAATGGTGTCATCAAAGGGAAATTTCTTGGTTTGGTACCTGGAATAAACGTAATGCAATCATCCTCGAACAACAACAATGATAGGGACAAACCACGTCCAAATATATTCAGACAATTATTTGATCTTGCAATTTTGTTTTCTGGAACCACACATTCAGGAGGGATATCCTTCAGTACCTCACTCAGAACACAATGCTTCATAAAACTACCATATAACCGTTGAATATCTGTCCTCAGAAACTGATGGTCATCACTTATGATGGGTATAATCAAAGTGGATTCCAGAATCTCAAATTTACAAATGAAAGCAATTTCACTTTGGTTATCCATACACTCAACACTTTTGCTTTTAGACTGCACACTTGAGTTTGAACTCCAATCATGAAGTGAAAAGTAACCAACTATGATGGCCAAGTAATTGAAAGGTAGAACGCAACATGTATGCTGAATTCCGAATCTAACTTCAAGCTGCGAACTTAGTGATCCAAAATTCCTTTGCTTCACACATATATTTAAGATAGGATAAAGGTCAGGTGAAGATGGACCCCACAAAAAGTTCTGGCAATTATTGGTCCAACATGCTGATGTGAGAATCACCCCTCCAGAAGAGGAGACCAGATCCATACCATCATCATAAATGCTAAGGGAAGATTTTGAGGTTGGCAGTGTTATTGTTCCAACAATACACGAAGAATCATGGAAATGCAGTTTAAAACCCGAGAGATTGATGTCAATAGCATATATACTTGCATCAGGAGAACTCTCTGACAGAGGAAATGTAACCATATTGGATTTTAGTGGTGAGGAATGAAACTGGTTGGATCCCTTCTTCAAAGTGCAATTTGTGCTACTCAACTTGTTATCTCTTAAATTGAATGACTTCTTCCAATCAGGAACGGAAAAACGAAGTGAACTCTCCAGACTACCAAGGGAACTGTAATTATATATTGTAACAAATGGAAAACAATCCATAGATATGCTTGTGTCATCAGATGCCCCTATTTCAGAGTAATTTGAGAAACCAAATCGTTGGTACTGAAAACCTGGCATATCTTTTGTACTTTTAGCTTCAAAAGTGGGGCCCGAAGTATTCTCAGCTCCAATGCATGCACTAAATGAACATATTCTATCATAAAACCCAGCCAACAACCCAAATATACATGGATAGCAATGTAGGTCAGCATCATTCAGGTCTACTGTGAGCTTGTGACTTATGAAATCTATACTTCCAATAGCTTCATAATATAAAAGAAAACAAGTCTCGGTAGTTGTATTCTCGTGACAAAGGCTATCACTTGCATTACCAAGTTTAATAGACATACTATTTACAGTATTTGAAGGATATAGATCACCAGATGAGCATAAAATATAATTATTCGTTTCCCCACTCGTATGTGCAGTAACCTTCATTCCCTTCAAAGAGACTTGGCACGTCTCATACTCTAGGAGAGAATACCTGCAATTGTACGAAATTTAAGTTTCAAAGCATATGCACCTACCTAGCATTCAATAATGAAATTCGAAAGTAGTATTTTTTTTTTTTGGATAAAAGTAGGTCTCATTAAAAAACCCCTTCTTAATTGACCCTCTCCAAAAGGAAAGGAACAATTAGCGTAAGGAGGAAAAGAGCACCTCAATATATTGATATATCATAAATACAACAGTACACATTTGCATAACAACATAAAAGACTGTCCTCTGAAAAAGCAGTAAATAACCTATAAATTCGAAAGTAGTATTCATTGCTAATTAATTTATTAACGAACTTAGAAAATAAAAAATATATATGACACGTGTATACAATTTCAAAAAACCTGTAGATTAATCTCAGTTATATCCACATGAGAGAAAAATACATCCGCATATTTTAATAGGAAAATTAACAGTAAGGAACATACCACACATCTAGAGCTCTTAGAGCAAGCACGATGGAAGAGCTATGTTCTCCATCATTAGCAAGATCAACAAGAAGCTTGGCAGAATTGATGTTTGCAGTTAGAGTCAAGGAAAAAGGAGGGTCCCCTGGCTGACTTGCTACAGAATGAATTGAATTTGTGTTACTCAGCACGACAGGTTCAGATCTTGAACATTGTCTATTAAGAACTATCAGTGAAACAACTGACTCATATATCGATAGAGAAAAGTTTGCATCAAGTGATTCTACAGAAACATAAACCTGCAATCAAGAGAGCTACTCAGAACGAAAATCCTAAAAGTACATATCTTACATACAAATGCAAATCCAACTAAAAAAGCCAAGAACTTAAACAATCCCAGGAATAGAACATTTTCTGTAGGATGCTTAATTCCTCAAGTAACTTAAAATGGCAAAATTGCAAAAAGAAAAGGAGAAGGGAGAAACAACAAAAGAGAACCATAAAATCTGTTCATATCGAAGTCCCATGGTCCTTAGCAGCTCCAGTTAAAATAATTCAGAGAGCTCCACAGAAAATGATATTAATAGAACCGTTCAATGAGTTGCAGGCAATTGGGCAAAAGAATACAGGCTTTCAAGAAATACAGGAGGGTTAGAGTTCAGAGATCTTCATCAGAAACATGGTTGTATGTGCGGACATATGAGTAAAAGCTTTACACAAAGCACTTACTTTAATGAATTCAAATATTGTATAGAAAAAATTTACAATAACTAGCTCTAAGAGAAGATCCTTTCCTGCTTTTATTTTGATTTAACCGCATGATAAAACTAGAGGGACAAGGACTTAATTCAGAAGATGATAAAAAGCTTTATCGCATTGAGAAACAAGATTTCAGACAACAAAATTTTGTTCTGAACCTGTATGAGAGATGCTGCTTTTAAACTAAATCTTAATAAAGAGCATTTTTACTATCCAAGTTAATGTAAGAAATGTCATAACATGAAAATTTTAGGGGCAGCAAAAAGGGACTTCATCTGAAGAAACAACCAAAAATTTCTTCTGAAATAACTTAACAATTTAGTAATACCTGGCTGAATCTAGGCATTGACATAATTTATAATTTACAAACACGAAGAAAGAAAAAAATTGAGATCACTAGAGGGAAGAGAATGGAGACGGAGGACCTCCAGAGTACATAAGCAAGCATAAGATAAAGAATGTTCAGTTTCAGAAAAAATAGAAGTGCATCAAAGATTGTGTGGGGATAGTTAGACCTCACCAGCTATGACAAAAGTACACTCCATACCAGATAAATATACATCTACAAGATTCCATCTAGTTACCTCGAATTGTTTCAGACTCGATTCATCAGGAATAATGCAAGACGCAAAGGTAATACAGGCACAAAACTTCTCCACAATTGATGTTGTGTGGAGATAGTTAGACCTCGTCAGCTTCACCTGCTCGCGTAAGTTGCAATTATAAGAATTTAGAATAATAAAAACATAGAACAGAATATCTAACAAGAACAATATACCTGACCTCAAAATCAACTAGTTTGATCTCAAAGTGATTGTAAAGATCTTCAAGCTGACAACTTGTTAACCAATCAGAGATGGATGCAGAATCAACTAAGTTCTTCTGGATATGTGATTCTCCATCAATACTTGAACTTAGAGTGTCCTTCGTTTTAGATGCAAGAACAAAAGATCCCAACTCAAAAATCTGGCAAACACAATAGATATATAATGCTATAAGTAAATGAAGTATATAGAATAAAATTTGAACTTCATTAAGCAAAAGGAACAATATGAATGTCCAAATAAACACATTATAACAATGCAATTACCATGTTAAACTCTTCAGAAGCTGCATTTCCGGAGGGAAAATTTATTTTGACGTTGCTGATATTAACATCCCATCCCACCTTCTTATGACTCGATAGGATGCATCTGCAAATACAATTTAGTTGTGTGCATCAACTATTTGGAACATTTGAATACATACAAAATTTTAACCAACATTAACCCGAATACACAGTACCAAGGGCACCTACTCAGCTTTTGCTAGCAATCGGGACTTAACATCTTCAATGCCATTAAGCGAAGATAAAACCTGCACTTGGTGAAATACATAGCATTACTTACATGCAACCAATGTAAAAAGAAATAGAAAGATGATATTCTAATTATCATATAGTTAAAGAACAACTGAAGGAATATTGTCACGGCTAAATATAAGAAGGCAAGCTATACAGCACATTCATGCATTAGGCTCTTTCGTATTGAAAATTTGTTGTATAAACAATATTTAAGCATCCATCAACAATGCAGTAGTAACATTGATAGCTGCAAACTTGATCTTTTATTTTATCAATATCCAACCATAGTTATCAGGAACACAGAACAGGTTTAAGGACAGTATACACTATTAAATTATTTTATGGGACAATGGGTTTGTTTCCATTGGTTTGTTACAGTGAATCACAGTATATACAAAAACATTATCAAATCATATGGTTTTCTTATACATTGAAAAGGATACCGATTTACTTTTTCCTCCTATTCTTATGAGATCAAAGCTGGCCCCTATAAAAAAACATTACCAGATCATTGATCAAGTCAATTCTTTTGTATTGACATTAGCAGACAGTACTTGCAGCAGCCCAAGAAAAGCTGACTTACAAATCTATTCTTCTTTTTAACATAGAACTAGATATTATACTTCTCTACCAGAATTGTTTTTCCTGCTACAAAATAAAAAGGGACTGGAACAACAACAAATTGCTAATGTACACCAACATTCATAAAAGGAAGCCTCAAATTGATTATTTTGATTTCTTATAAAATTAAAAGCATTTCTTAATTTATGAAGGGGGTATTTCATAAGTTATGAAGGGGTTTTTTAATGAGGTCTCCCATTTTTATAAAAAAAAAGCATTTATTAATTTAGATTCAACTTATTGTGAATCTGTAAAATTGAATTAAAATCTAAAAGTATAATAACTTGTTTTATATTATACTTTACAGAATTATAAATCTTGTTGGACGCATTAAATGGGATCTCGCAGATATCAAAGTCTAAGACACTAGAAATTTAAAAAACCTAAGTCAGGAAGCTGACAAGTTAGCTAAGTCAGAATTGGTTAATTGTTTTTGTTTTTGGTCCTGCTGTTTGGTCTTGTTGTTTGTTTTCGTTGTAGAGTTGGTATTTGTTCCTAGCTTGGTTGCCTGTACTCTATACTGTCTTTAGGTATTTTATTTTGAACTCTATGCTTTACTAAGGTGTTTTATTTAATAAAATTTTGAGGTATTCTTTTCCTCCTTCCAATGTTCGTTGAGATATCTTTTTGGTATTCAATGGATATGAAGGGGGGTTTTAATGCGACCTCCCTTTCTTATCAAAAAAAAAAAAAAACCTAAACGTACCAAGGAAACATACTTAACTAATCCAGATAGAAAACAAATGAAAAAAAGAACAGCACTAACTGCACTAGATATCTTCAGGAATTGAAAATGTTTGAACAAGACTGATGCATGCTGAACCAGCCAATATAAGAACTGTGAGTGTAGCTGTATAAGGCATCAAGATTAACACATATATTTCTTACCCTTTCATGCTGAAATTCAAAATATTTGATAACAATGAAAAATTCTGTGAGATCCTGGAAAAATGTTGTTTCATAAGTGACTTCAAGCGACTGAAGCATGACCTAGGCATAAAAGTCATAAAAAAATAATTGTAAATAAAACAAAAGCATTAAAAAAATAACTTAAACAAAGGCTTATGTTGTCAAGTATAAAAAGGATTTCCAAATGGCACCAAAAGGGCATAAAATTACATTCACTGACAATTCAACATCTCGCCTTGGTGACAAGTCTACTTGAACTCTGATAGAAGGCAGTTCTTCCCCGACATTTTCCTCTATACAGGGCTGAAAACATACAAATTAAGAACTGAGAATAAATATAAGTTGGACGCCAAAAAAAAAAAAAACTCCAAAATATTTAAAACAGAACTACCCTTATGCTAACAATATCGTTTCAGATATGTACGAATGCTTTTGGGACATGGAAATTCATATTTGTTTATAGAGGATTATTTTCCCGGAGGGATGGGGGAGGGAGGTATAAGGCTGATAGCTTTTGGTTCAGAATGTCATGCACATGCCTAAGTTCTGAAGTTCGAATTTGGCAGTTTTGGTCCAAATTTTAATAGTTTAATATCCTCATTCTTAATTTTTTTTATAGGAATAGGAGGTCTCATTAAAAACCTCCCTCATAGTTGCATCTTGAGAAGGGCAATTAGCGGAAGGAGGAAAAGTGTACCTCAATATATTAATAAACCATAATTACATAAGATTACAGATTACATAATAACCACCCAAAATTAAAAAACCGAACAGAACCCCACTAGAACTGAAGACATTCAACCTATCCCCTCCTTAACTAACTTGTCAGCCTCCCAATTACATGTCCTAGGAATCAATGTAATCATAATATCCCTAGCAGAAACTAAGGCCCCAATTTCCCCAACCAAAGAACTGAAAAACGAAGGGGCAGTAACAGGCCTCAAAATCCAATCCACAGCTATTTTACAATCACTCTCTAAAATAAGTCTACCCTTCAACACCCATTCAGAAGAAAGATATAAGTCAATGCCTTCTTTAATGGCTTTCAACTCAGCAAACGTAGGTGGTCCTGGTTCGACAACAGTAGAAAAAGTGATTAAGGTAGAAGCATTCGGATCTCTCAAAATTCCTCCAATTCCACCCTGCATACCATCACCTCTAACCGTCCCATCCACATTGAATTTAAAAAATTCAGGTGGAGTCCAACAAAGATCCCTTTTCTTTTTTGATGTTTTAACTGAAATATTGTCTGCAAGCACTGGATCCCCTACTAATAAATCCGCCTGAATATTATCATTAGGAAATTTAGCTAAATACCATTTGGCCAGCCTAAATCTGCAAATGAAGAACAGTGAAGAACTGTCACAATCCCCGTTTTCAAACACAATTGAATTCCTAGCTTTCCATAAAGACCACAAAACAACTCCAGGGATAAATTTCCAGATTGAAGAAGAAACCTTTATAAAAGACCGAGAACAAAGTAGGGACAAGGGATCTTTGGGCAAAACTGAAGATAAATCCCATAACCTTAAGAATCGATTCCACAGTTCCCTTGCAACAGGACATAAGATAAAAAGATGTTCAATCCTTGAGACATAAAACATCATCCAAGGGAACCCCTCTTTTCTTCAGCTCCACTTTAATAGCTAATTTCTAATGAGATAGCTGCCATAGAAATGTTTCAACTCTAGAAGGAGCCAATCTAGACCAAACCCACTTGTTCCACTGAAAATTCCCTCCAGAACTGCCAGAAAGTGTCATTCTACAAGACTTACCCGAGAACAAATCAACACCTTTGCCTGACCATGCCAAAAAGTCATCGACTGAATCAACCAAAACAATGTTATCAAGCAATGACATTAAAGAAATCCACTGATCCAATTCCCAGTCGTATAAATCCCTCCTTAATTGAATATTCCATACCCAACAATTGTTTTCGTAACAACCAAAATCAACAACTTTCCCCCATTTATTATTTGATAAAGCAAAAATCCTAGGGAATTCCTATAAAAAAATTCCAGAATGCAATTGACCTACCATTCCCCACTTGTATCCTCGAATTAGACCTCAAATAGTCCCCTATATAATCCTTTTTCTCGTAATTGTTCAAAATTCCTCTCCAAATCCATGAATCTCGAGGAGTAACGGCCTTATTTTATTGTTAAAGATAAATTGTAGATATTATGTTTGCAGCAAATCATCTTTTTCCATTGAGAGTTATTTTCATTTGCAAACCTCCAAACCCATTTCCCAAGTAACACTCTATTGGTCAAGTTCAAATCCAAGACTCCTAAGCCACCCTCCTCATAAGGTCGACAAACCGTTTTCCAATTAACCCAATGAATTCGTTTCTTTACTGGACCTTCCCCCTAAAGGAATTTAGCCATCATATGCCCATTCATTTAAACTGTCACTTTCCAAATTAACACCAAACAACTTACTCTTAGACAGATTAAGATGTAGCCCTGACATTAAACTAAAAACCCTCAACACTCTCCTAATATTCAGAATTTGAGTAGGTGAATCTCTATAGAAAAGGATTAAATCATCTGCAAACTACAAATGAGTCAAATGAAAATTATTAACATCCCCACCAATACTTAACCCTTCAAACAATCCACATTCAGCAGCCTTTAGCAACATTAAATTCAATAGTTCCCCAACTATATTAAACAACAGAGGAGACAAACTATAGCCTTGTCTCAACCCTTTGCCCATCTGAAATTCCTTTGTTGGAGATCCATTCACTAGAACTGAGATAAAGGCAGATGAGATACAAAATTCAATCCATGAAATCCACTTATCACCAAAGCCCATAACTTTTAATAATCTCAATAAAATCGGCCATTCTACCGAATCATATCCTCATTCTTAATGAATTCATTTTTGTTATTACGTTTTCCTTGGTGTTAATAGAAGTGTTGGGATTAAATTTATTAAAATTGGAATAGAGCTAAAACCATCACATTGAGATAATAGGACCATATTCATACTCCAACCAATGCCCAAAATGCAGATTATGCCATATAAAATCTTACACTCAGTTCATCAAAACTCATAGAAAGCATGCGATTCAAAATAGATACAGCCCTGACAAGGGCCAGCACATACAGTGAAGCTTTAGCCAACAATTTGCACGATTAATATGATATATATATATATAAACACATTTAGAAGCTTCAGTAACTGCACAAATAGGTTTCTTACAATTTATATGATACCTTAACCTAACTACCACACTTAGGGACTTCCTTTTAACTAAATATATTCACCATTTCAATCCAAAAAATTATTAGAAGAGCTGAATTGTTGTGCAACGCCAGCTTAGGAATTAAAAAAAAAACTAATCTTTAGCCAACAATAATATAAAAAATATTAAGAGTGGACTACGTCATGAAGGCACGAAATCATAGAAACCCCTACCATTAGTCGGATCATTTGCTCATTGCTTGTATTAACCACCTCTCCTGAATTAACAAAAGCAATCACAGTTACTAATTCTTCCTGAAGGTTGCACTTCATAACTGTGCCATGGAGATTCAACCTTGCAATTTCTTGATATAAATTCCTACAAAAGCAAAGTAACATAGTTAATATTTAAGTGTACAATGGCCAGAAAAAATATTAACGATATTAACAACAAATATGCCCAAAACCACAACTTGCTTCAAAAGTTAGTAGATGATGTAAACTACAAGAAATGCAACATCAAAATGGAGGATGATGTTGCTCTTGGATAATTTTTGTCCTTTGATGAAGGGTGAAGATTGTTATGTTTGGAAAGGAAATGGTGATGGTGTTTTTTCGATTAAGTCTTGCCCTAAAATTATTTCTAGTTTATCCGAGCCTCAGCATTTCTGGTCGGAGATTGTGTGGAAGGGGTTAGTTCCTCCTAAAGCGGAGGTTTTTCTTTGGCAAATTATTCATCAGAAGTTGGTTGTCAAATCAGTTTTGTTGGGTAGAGGTGTTAAGGGTATTGAGAATCCTTATTGTGTGTTCTGTGGAGTGGAGTCTGAATCGGTGACTCATTCTTTCTTTTCTTGTGAGAAGGTTTGGAAGATTTGGGTTAAATTCCTCCGACTGTGGAATGTCGTCACTTTTCTTTCTAATAATCCTAAAGAGTTCTTGCTTTCGTGGGTGGATTTGAGACATAATTCGGCTATTTGGCAAATCATATCGGGAGTTGTTTTGTGGACTGTTTGGTTATGCAGGAATCAGATAGTGTTTCAAAATAGGAAACTGGATAGTGCAAATCTTTTCTTTTTGATGAGGTATAGGGTGGCTTCTTGGTTCTTAGCTAAATACAAGGGCGTTTCTATTCAGATTGATAGCCTTGTGGGTGATTTAACCTTGGCAGATAAACATCACTACCCTTATAAGTCTTGTTTGCCTAAGTTAAAGTGGTGCCCCCCTCCTGCGGGTTTCTTTAAGGTGAATGTTGATGGGGCAGTAGCTGTTGACTGGAAGAGAAGTGGTATTAGTGGTGTGCTTAAGGATGCAGAGAATAATAAGTTGCCTTTCTTCTCAAAAGCGACAGGACCTAGCACTCCGATTCTTGCAGAGATTGTTGCAATCAAAGCTGGGTTGGATTTATTCTTTGATTCAATGTGGAGGGATAAAGGGTCACTGATTCTAGAAAGTATTCACTTCTTGCTCTGAAGTGGATCAATAATCCGGATCTCTGTCCGGCTCTTTATGTCGATATGATCACAGAAATTCAGGAGTCTGTGATACATTTTAATGTTATTATAAGGCATATTAGTAGATGTGTTAATGGGGAAACAGACTGTTTAGCAAAATCTGGTATAGGTTAGGGAGTGTTGAGCTATTGGTGTGGGAGATTAGGGTAGATGGGCTGTTCAATTGAAGGTTTGGATTATTGTACTAAATGTTTATTAGGTTTGGTTGTAATCTTGTGTTTGGTAATAAATTTGGGCACCCTTTTCCCCTTGCCATGATTATTGTGTTTCACAGCACAATAATTATAAAGGGGGTTTTTAATGGGGCCAATTCTTATAAAAAAAAAAGAAATGCAACATCAAGAGGTGATTAACTAAAATAAAGTGAAAACATATGTCAACAGCAGGACATGGAAATTTTGAGAGCTGAAAATAGCAATACTTTTCCTGCAATTGTAGTGAGATGGTTGATTTAGGTAATGTTTCCTTAAAGGGAGAAGGCAGCAAAATACAGTAGGCAAACAAGGTCATTACCAACTCATCTAACTACCCAGGCACAGTCCTAGTGGGGATGACATGGACTAAGCTGCATAAATTTTATCTTTTTTACATGTTGCCACTTTGAACACTCGAGAACAAAGAAACTGCGATCTTGTAATTTGTAATATTATTCTCACTAGCAACTAATTCATTAAATCTTCATAATTTTATTAAGTTCCACGAGCCTTGCATGAGGTTCTTGTTCCTCAATGATGTGCATAAGCATGTAATATCATTTTCCCAGCTTATTCTCTATGATCTTCACACCACAGGTCAGTTCTCTTTTCCTCTACCTTCATGACATAGGCTTGTTTTATATGACGAATTTAAAAAGTACACAACCTATAAAACAACATATCCAATAAAAATGAAGGAATTTGAAATGTTGGTTTCAAAACGCAATGTTTAAATAAAACAATGGGGGTTCGCAGAAGAAATTAGCAATTGTCCTGTAAATTACCAAAATACTACTAATTCTAGATAAAGGTTCCCATCTCTATCACAAATTTCAAGCCATAAAAATTACTAATCTCTATAATTAATTATTGATAAAGCTGTTGAAGAAATTTTCATAATAATTAACAATAAAATTTTACTAGAAAATGAGAGTAAATATGAGAAAACTCAACAACAACAAAAGGATGATGACAGAAATGATGTGGGCTAATGAAGATATTGGAGTAATGACTGATGACCTATATTCTGAAAGAATGGCCTCTATTTTTGGTTAAGATGGTCTACTTACTTTTATTGCATCATTTTAAGAAAAGGAAATATCATATCAAACAAGCAGCACCGTAAAATCAAGACTGATTCAAATAGGTCCCTAAGCACAGGGTTAGATTTCTGGACATTTTAAAATTCTTATGCTATGTACACACATAAGATGATGGTTCATAGAAATTTAATTCCAGCCACAAAATGAAATCCCATTTAAAATAATTTCAAATGTGACATTTGCTATCAATTTGTTTCTACATCATCTTCCATTCTCGAAGGCATAAATATATCGACATGCATGAAATCAAAGAAAAATCAATACAACTTTAGAACTTTTGAGTATGCTGTAAATCCCTTTCCTTTTGCTGCCCAACCTAACTCTCTGGAACTCCTCCACCATTTTTTCCTTTAAAGCCTCCTCCTCTAGCACGTAATTGAACAATCTAAAAGGTTTTGGCCCCCAATCCGTGCCTTTGCTTTCCAAACTAACTGCGTTGTGATCCGATAATGATCTCATGAGCAAACTCTTAATTAGAGAAGGAAACACAAATAAGTTCGAATCAACTAAAAATCTGTCTAATCTGACAAAAGTAGGATTTTCCCTATTATTGCTCCAAGTGAATTTGCCACCCGACATTGGAAGATCATTCAAGTTAGCCTTATGAACAAACTTGTTAAACATTCTCATCAACAACCTATTTTGACCTCTTCCCAACTTCTCTTCGAGAGTCAAGTACGCATTAAAGTCTCCCCCAAACAAATAGGACCTAATTGCCACACAAAAGCTAACAGCGACTCAAAGAATGAATCTTTCTCTGAATCAACTGATGGCCCATATGCATCAATAAACCAGCATAAAATAGACAATTCTTTGAGATTACCTTTAACAACAATAAACCTTTCCTGCACATGTTCAACCTCAATCTCCAATTTATTTTCATCCCAAAGCATTAAATCCTCCTGCTAATTCAATCGTCGGAGAAACCACAAACCGATTCAGAAAATTCCCTCCTAACCTCCTCCTTAAGGAAAGTTTAATAATCTCGAACTTCGCTTCTTGAATGAACAAAAGCGACGGCTTCCTCCCTTCAATAATGTTCCTCACAGCCCTAGACTTCTCTCCTGCCCAATCCTCTCACATTCCACGATACCATACTAAAACACGACATATAAAGAAAGAATTAAAAAGCCCCCTTCCCACAGACCTTCAGATTCCACCCTCCATCTACCTACCCTCAACCACAGCCTGCGCCTTTTCCATGAAAGCTTTCTTCCCTCCTCGGAAAGTTACACCCATCAATTAGCTTACTTCTCAACTTGCCTGAATTTCATCCGCCTCGTAAGAACAATCTTCTAATGACTTCGCTTTATCTTTCCGAACCTCTCTCAGATTACTCCTACTCCTGCTTCTGTAATGTACACCCTTGAAAGATTTACCCTCGGATCTGTTGGTAGTCGCATTTCTCTCTAATGTTCGACCACGGTTTGGCGAAAAACCCATTCCTCTGGAACCATCCCTTGATAGGGAAACTACCTCTCACCCTGTCTAAAAATTCGCAAATCATCTAAGCCCCCTGTGCAATTGACGTTACTGCTAAGAGAGCCCACTGATCGGAACCTCCTGCGAAAACCACACTGTGTCGATCCTCCTTTACTAGACGCTGAACCAACCTACTGAGTATTTTTGTTACTGTTAGAAGAATTGGGCCTAGAAGGCCCAAACCCAATATCACCAATCTGCCCAATTAACTCTTTTTTGGGACCCGACAAAATCTGCAGCGTTGACAATTCCCATATTTCCATCTTGTCTTTCTCCAACTGCACAGAATTGTCAAATCTCTGGACCTCTGCCTCATTAATTCTTGGAACAGTAGACGCCACACCACCTGTCAGAGACTTTTGACCCGATAGAACAGTTCTTTCCTTGGATATCACTCTAACTTCTTGGGCTATCCTCTCCCTCAAGATCCCCTCTTCATCGCACTGTTTCTCCGATGTATCTACCACCCATTCATTGGAAAAATCACCATCACTCTCACAATTCCAAACCTCTAAAAGTCCATCGGTCGACAATTCTACTTTAATTTTAATCATGTACAACCTTTCATTGGTGTTTATGGAGATCGACTCTGGGACGTCAAACGGGCTTGCCCACCCGAATCACCATCTTCACTACTCTGCAGTCCTGCTTCAACAGAGTTTCCTTATTAATATCTACTACCTCCCCCCACCGTTAGGCCAGGCTGGAGAAGAAGACCTCATTCCATCAATTTAAAGGAACTACGAAAAGTGATACTTCACAGAAAGCCAAAGGAACACCTCCTTCCGATGAAACTGGTCTCAACCAGTCAAACCAATAATTGAGCTCCAAAGAATTTTTTCCATAGCTTTTGACATTTCCTCCTCCAACTTAAAGGACACTAAGCAAGTGTTTCTGGTGTAACCCTATCTTGCAACGCTAACGTTAACACTTTCACTGTGCAACGCTCTCAGAATTAATTCCACATCGTAAGATTGCTTATGAATTCCGATCATCGTCCTCTTTAACCAACATCTCTCCTCCACCGGGATGAAAACATAAAAGGGGACCTTCGAAGCTCCTTCTCCCCTCATCTGCTTACTTACCGCCCTTGCTGAAGAACTCGAGTTCCCCATCAATTTATCCCGATAAGAACTACCGTCATGAAACTTATTATACAACTTACTTTTCCCATCGGAGTTCTTAGTTTGAACCACCTCTTTCCTCTTAATCCCAACCTCATCTGGCCCAGACAAATTCTTCCCATTCGTTGATTTCTGATACTTCGCCACCCTAACCGCAACCCTCCTCCCATCAATCAACCCATTATTAACCTTTACCACTGCTTCTATAAGATCTTCATGACTCTCGAAGTGAACGAATGCGAATGTTGAGTCTCTATTTTTTTTTATAGAAGTTGGAGGTCTCATTAAAAACTCCCTTAATATTCTTCCACATACTTAGAAGTATTTTGAATAACATTAGAAGGGAGAAAAGAGTGACTCATATTTTATTAAATAGAATACCAAGTACATGTGGTAACACCGATCCCTCATACGGGAATATACACCAATACAAACCACATCACCTAGAAATCTTACATTGTCAAACAAAAAGCCCCTAAAACAATAACCTCATTTGTAAAATACACCTCAAGATGTAAGATAACATAGCAAAATAAAAATCAACAATTACAACCACAAATTTAAAAACGCCTCTGAATATAGCTGCCGAACAATCACAATCCAATTGGAGGATCAAGTTCTAAAGAAATATCGCAATCTTCAGGGACCTAAGAATTAGGTTTGAAGTAAGGATCAACTTCATGCACCAAGATTTTGAATAAATGATCCCCGACCTTCAACTCCAACAACTCATTAATTCTCCCTTGACCATTTGTGAGTATTAGAATTTTCGCCCGATCAAAAGACGAAGGAAACTCACAACTGTTATCAATTGCTATTAACTTGCCCCACTTAGTAGTATGTTTTTGAAAGTATCCCAATTCCAAGCGTGAAAAAGAATACCTTCGCAAACTAGCCAAACGATCCGGCTCTCCACCACAAGGCTCTCAGACCAAGTTTCCACTTTGGAAAACCATTCTGCAAGAGTCTCTAACTTATCATCCTTCACGCTTCTCAACGAATCAGAATCTTCAAAAACCAGTAGAACTACATTCCAGCAGCTCTCATAAGTGTGAAACTTGCTAGTCCTTTGGCTTGTATTTGGTTAGAAAGATTATCAATCTTGATAAAGTTCTTGCATCACCCCACAAGACAATTAGTCAACACTTGAAGTTTATTTTCGTCCACAGCACTCTCAACTTCACAGTGTTTAATCCTCGGAAAAACTTCCATCCCAGACTTACTATGAGCAACTGTCGAAGATTTTCGCCAGTAAGATTGTCGGGGTTTATATTTAGCCAAAGAGACTCTAATTTTGTTGCCGTAAATATGATAACCATTCATCTTAGAAATCGATGTCCTTGCTTCTTCAATTGTAGCAAAGCGAATAAACCCAAAGCGAACCCCATTCGAGTTTCTTTTTTTTGGGAATGAAGGCATCAATAACTTGACCATGTGAGCCAAATATGGATCCAAGCCTCTTCCAATGGATCTTCTCTGGAAGGTTTTCGATAAAAATCGTGTAACAACCCTTTCTGGACCCATTACGGAAATCTGGTTGGCCTTCTTTCGACCGATTATGAAACCCATTTCTTCTCCTTCCCACCACTTCGGAAAATTTTACATCGGAATACCCTTTCGAATAGATCTCCTTGGCACCACCATGATCAACATCAGCGACTGAAAGCGCTAGTGTTGCGTGTACAAAAGACGGCTTTCCGTTCCTATGTTTCCCTTCTTGTGAGTATTTCTTCAAATGACTGGTTGATAGTGGACTTTCACCCGACCTCGCTGAATATGTTCCCGAATTTTGCTGATTTTGGGTTGAAGGAGTGTCTACAAGTGGTGTCGTCGGGCTCAACTGTCCAACCCGCCTCACGTGCCAAGGCTGCCCAAACATTGTTCATAGCAGCATTTGGGGGAAAAGGGAAGTTATCAAACTGCCTCAAGCCGACCAGCATGCGTCTGGTAAAATCTCGTCTTTGCCGTTTCTGAAACTTTGTACTCTCTTTTTCTATCTCAATATTACAATTGTCCTTATCGGAGTTTGATGAAGAGGCTGCACCGGCAGATCCAGAAGTCTTGAGAAAACTGCCTCGTGGAACTGCATTTTCCTTTATTTTTAAATCCTTAACCCGCTTATTCAAATCTGCCACTAATGCTTTTAGAGCCTTCACTTTCGCTTCTAATTCCTTGGCAGACTCCAGGGGGAAATCACCAGCTGCACCAAGACAATCTGGTTCAAGCAGGAGATGTGAACTCCTAGACAATGGAGGAACAATAGGAGGCCTCACCGAGGAAGCAGCCACCGCACCAGTTGAGTTAAACCCTCGACGTCGGCTGGGTTGAGACGGGGGTTAGGGTTCCATTGTGAGAACTCATCTGTTCACTACTGCTCGACACAAGAGAAGTCGAGATTAGGTCACGATAAGGTGCTGCAATCGGTGGAGTGGCGGAGGCGAACTCGGACGGCTGGAGGCGGTGAAAATTTGCAGAGGACGAGTGAAGATTTGCGACTAAAAACAGTGTTTTTCGCAAATGCAAGTCCAGATCTGTGTTCACCGTGAGCAGACGACCATCCTAGGAAAAAACGACGTCAAACTGAGGTCAGAGTGTGACAGCGGACGGCTGACGGCAGCGACAGACGGCGGGCGACAGTAGCGGCCGGCGAGCAACTGACGATGGAGACAACACTTTTAAGTTTAAAAACACCTGGGCCCTAGAGACAACTGGTGGGTTTCGAAGGAGAATAAAAAACGCCTGGGCTAATGAAATTAGAATTTTGAATTCGCCTGGGTTAGAGAGAAGCTGGAGCTTCTCTCACTAACACGTAATGTTGAGTCACTATATTTCGGTCTCCTATTAACTAAAGGGATAAACACCTTAGTAACCGTATCATGAAGCTTGAATCATTCCCACAAAGCACCCCTACTAACTCTTCTACTCAGGTTATTGACAAAAGCCGACCAAAGGGCTCCAGTAGGGAGAGAAACCTGAACTGACTTTTCGCTCATAATATAAAACTTTTGTTAGCAGGAGAATGATCTACCATAGGACAATAATAACTGGTAAAGAATTTAATCTATGACAACATTCCCCTTCTTCTACCTTATTTTGCCCTTTATTTTTCAAATCTCAATACCTACTTTCTACAAACAAAATTCCATTATAATTTCTTCAAGACCAAAGGAGATTGGGAGTGCATAAAAATAGGAAGTGCAATAGTCTGCAGAAGATTTGCCAACCGAAAAGGTATAATTGTGATATTACCTGGTTCCCGCAAGAACCAACTATTCTCCAGATAACGAAGGGAACCAGTACTTCAACCTAATTAAGGGTAGGGCACTACCAACAGCCTTTATGTACAAGAACAGAGCAATAGATTATTGAAAATTGCCCCATACAATGAGACCTCTAATTATTATAAAAAAAAAATTGCCCCATACATGGAAACAGACAGTATAGGACATCATGTTCTCTGCAAGAGAGTGGCTTATGTTATATACCATAACATCAATCACGAAAGATGGGTTGGCTGGTGGAATTGGAGGTATTTTGAGAGACTTTAATAGCTTCACTTTGACGACCTTCTCTATTAGCGTTGGTCTTGGCCCTCCTCCTTTGGTCGAGTTGAAAGCCATTAAAAAAGGCATTGACATTTTTCTATCTTCATTTTGGGCTTTGAAGGGAAGACTGATTATAGAGAGTGATTGCAAATCTGCCGTTGACTGGATTATGTTGTCGTATTCTGCACCTCCTTTCTTCAGTTCCCTTGTCTTGGATATTGTGTCCCTAGTTTTCGAGAGGGAGGTTATTGTTAGATTGATTCCTAGGGGATGTAATTGGAAGGCTGATAAATTAGCTAAAGAGGGAATCGGTTGATTGTAAGGGTATTTTTCTAGGGAACTTGTAACATACTCCATACCGGGTTAGTGGTTAAATTGTGAGATTTAAAAATTCAGTGACTAAAATGGATAAATTGAAAGGTTCAAAGAATTGATTGAAATGTTTGGTGTAGGATCAATTAGCAAAGAAGGGAGAATTAAAGGGGCAAATGAGTCTTTCGACAAGGAAAATAATTAAAGGAACTTGTAGCATAGGTTGATTGTGTGCAGTCTTATGGTTGTAATGTTTTATGTTTTATTTCGGGTATTTTGTAAGGTGTACTCTTATGTAATTATGGTTAATCTATAAATTGAGGCACTCTTTTCCTCCTTCCGCTAGTTACCTCTTCATAAGAGCTAACTATGAAGGAGGTTTTTAATGAGGCCTCTTATTCCTATCAAAAAAAAAAGGAAAAAGGAATTAACATCAACTTCTTATGATTATAATATATGCTCTAACATATGCAAAAAGTTAAGATTAATATATTTTCATGCTAAAGTGACGTCCATAATTTATTTCTAACCCAAAAATGGCTCAAAGGTAACATACATGCTCCATATTTTTGCAGAAACTTCATCTATGTTGAACTCGATTGCCCTTGTATAAGTCTTATCATTTGTGTCGGCATCAGACAAAACTGGCGAATAGAACTGAGTTGCCTCATATATATCCTGTAAAAAAGAGGGGTGGCTATAAACTATCTGATCTAGAGCATTTGCGCTGAACTACAGCTTGGACAAGAAGTACCTGCACATCTTCATCAGAAACCACACCAGAGAACTGACTAGAATCATCTGTTCCTCCAGCACCAAGCATACCACGGGACAACCAATTCAACCATCCACGAGACTTATCAAATGACTGACCATCTTGTCTTGACTTCTCGACAGAAAAATTGGCTGTTGAAGACTTTGATAAAACTTCCTGCACGCCGAAATAAGTACACAATAACAAACAATAGAACCATGTCAAATCATGATCAACAGCATTAAACAGTGTAGAAATACAAACCAAAACTACTAACAATGAAATCTAAGAGGTATTAAATCTAACAAGCATTTTGATCTAATTTTAGAGCGATGCATCAGAATATTATACCTGCAGCTCATGTTCCGCAGCTGACCTATAACTAAAAATATCATCAATATCGGACTCTTTCTCCATTTGTTCCAAGTCCAGAATTATAGATTCATCAATTGGCTGAAAACAAATAGGAAAACATATTCATGCAAGGAACAGGTGAGTAATTGAGCAACTTTTAAATTGCATAACAATAAATGGAATTACATGTGAAAGAACCCCAAAAATTAAGGGGAAAAGACCTAAAAGCTTTGACTAAATGTACCCAAAAAAGGAATAATGACACGAATACCTAAATGAGAAACAAAGCACACAAAAAATAGTTTTCGCTTGTCACAAGTTGGAAAGCAAATGAGGAGATAACCAATGGGATCTAGAAGTCATGATTAAGCACTAAACATTTTGATGCCTTGTGCACATGTAACATCAATCTTTATAACAATATGTATCGAAAAGTAATCAAAACAGAACAGAAGAGAAATTGAATGAATATGAAGATCAAAGCAAGATTTAAGGCGAAATACAAGAAAAGACAGATAGAGGCAAAAAACCCTAAAACCCAAGAGGCTGAGAGAAAGTGGCCAAATATATAACAAAAGCAGATAGAAGATCCCAATAATCAACATTCCTAAATCTCAAAAATTTAGAATCCAAAGCTAGTATAAGTAGAAATAACATAGGTACTTATAATCCTCGAATAAACACAAAAATATTAAATCTAACCTTAAAGCCTTGGTACTTGGTAAGAAAAAGCAAAACATCAGTAATAAAATACCCAAAATAATTTTAAAACATCCTAGATCTATATAAAAATAACAATTGAAGCCATAAAATATAACATGGAAACAACCTTAAATCTTAAGTAGTTTAATCTCTCAATCTATCCATCACACATTATGTAGAATGGACAGTTAAAAATAAAAAAGAAATAAAGATCAGATAATTCGCACAAATAGAAGCATTCTGTCCTGCTGTGTTTAGCATTCTGGTTAAAGAATTAGCAAAGAGTGTGTTGGATTCAAATGTGTTGCTAAGGTTTGTGAAAAGTAGTAATTGGGAAGCTGATGTTTTAGCTAAGGCGGGAATTGGGTAATGTTTGTTGTGTTTGTGTTCTGTTTTTTTATTTTGTTTGGAGTGTTAGTTATCATTTCATGGGAAAGGTGTAGGTCTATGAGAAAGGTTGTAATCTAGGGGGTTTTTACCTAGGTTGTACTCTTTGTTTCTATTAATAAAATTTGGGCACTCTTTTCCTCCTTCCAATGCCCGTTAAGATACCTTGTAGCTTAACGGTTATGAAGGGAGTTTTTAACGAGGCCTCTTTCTTATCAAAAAAAATTTCTTCCAATCCAACAGCATCTTCAGGTTCAACTTAGTAAGGGAAAGGAAAGGACTCGGAAGAAAGGAAAATGAGGGGTTTCGAAGGAAAGGATATATCATCCTCTGTTTAGAGATTAAGAATGAGAAAGGGAAAGGGAAAATATATATCATAGCATATTGTTCCATAATTCCATTTATATATACTTTCACATGAACCACGTTGACTAGTGTTGGAATTACATGCTAAAATTTAATTGTTGATAACAATCATTATCATTTTTATAAACTAAAATAAACTCTTTCTCTAGCAAAAATCCATTATTTTTGTTTGTAGCAACCTCAAGTACCGATTTTTTTTTAAAGAAAAAAAGCATGCCTATTATCGGAAACAACTAAAATACTCGGCTAATAAGAAAAAGCATTTCCAAAATTCTTGAAAGATGAGAAAAAAATAAACGGCACTTTACACTGAATCCTAGCCAAGAATTAAACAAAGAGATTTTAGTTTAAAGGTCAAAACATAAAAGCTATTGCTGAAAAGAAATGCTTTGCGGACGTCGTATTAGTGTGAAGAGTTTATCAGAGTTACACGAAAACCAAAACGAGCAGCAGATGTAGTACAAGGTTATTCAAACATAATGGCCAAAAAGAGAAATTTGGACATGTCAAATGGCTTTATTTGTAAACGAAAGAAGATAATGCAGGGAAGATATTTTTCAAACACTATCAGTTCCTCCCGCCCTCTTTCTCCCAATTTTCCATATTGAGAAAATGGATTTCAGGGGAAGGGAAACTGAGAGGTGCTCAATAGCCAATACCCCTCTCATTCCTTTCATTGAAAACAAAGCCAAATGAGGGAGGGGTTTCCCTCTTCCCTAGCTTTCTTTCCCTCCCCTCGATCCAGAAAGTAATGCTAGTAAGGACTATTTTGACTATTCTGAACATTTTGGCCAACTGCAAGGACCACTGGACTACTATAACAACAAATGAAGCATAACATATATACATAAACTACATGTTCAACCTAATATGGCACGAAGAACATTATTGGAAGAAAAACGGAAAAGCCAAGAAATACTAATATAACTAATTACTAGTCCCAAAAACCGTTTCCCAAAACCAATATCAACTATCATTCTCAACAAGAAAAACTAAACAGAAGTTATTTGTGCAGACACAAGCCTATATGATAGAGAAAAGGTTTACCTGGTCTTGTCGAAGAAACTCTAACTTAGTCTTGTATAAATTAACATACATCCGACGATTACTCCTGTGATCACAAAGATTCTCTTATTCATTTAACATGTCAGAGCAAAAAAAAGAAACAAATGCCAAATTTTTTCCTCCCAACCAAAGACAACAAAAATATATATTTTAGATTATATTTGGTGTCCATGTCTATAATTTTGGAAAAATTATGCATCCCCGTAATTTATTATAACTACAATCACTCCACAGTTCTGATTTGACAATAAGTGAACTTGATTAGACGTGACAATCAAATCCTTCTTATAGTTCTTCTCTACAGTTAAAATAGCAACTGCTATCTGGAAAGCAGATCAACCATGAATGTATTAAATAAAATTTAGATCATTAAAAATCAAAATAAAAGGCAAATCAAAGTAAACAAAAGATGGTCTAGAAGCAGTAACCTTTTGGTATAATTTCCAACTAGCCTTTACAATGTTAAATTATACTTCGCTGCAATACATCATTTTATACACTACAACACCATCATCCACCCATTTTAAATCAAAACCCGACAACTCATATTAATCCGATGAAATCAATATGTAATTAGAAAAGGATGGCAAACAAAATCTCATTTGTATTGTTTCAATCTTCGATAATTAGAAAAGAAAAATCTAGAAAAGCGACATCAAGCTCCTAGGGACTTCAGGCTCCCAACATCCATTTGGTAGCTGGCAACACAGAACAGGCATAGCATGTAAAATTCCCTAGATTGAGATTGCAATACAAGGGCTTGACTGTTATATACTCAAAATATGGTTAATTCAATTTTGAAATCAAGATCATATGGCCATTTTAGTTACAGCAGCCAAACTTTGCAGCAATTTGAGTAATTTTCCAAAAATTTGGCAGAACCATATCAAGCAAACAGTAGAAATAAAATTTTCTTAAAACAAGATCGATCAATTCATATTCGCAATGTGAAAATTTAACACTTTAACAAGGGAAAAAGCTTTCCAACCACTTGAATCTACAGAATCATATTTGATCTAAGAATTAGAAGTTCCATCAACTTCAAAGGAAAACTACTTGTTCCCACAGGTGCAATCTTAATGTTAAATAATAATAACCATTATGCTATTAAATCACACAAGGAAAAGGAGGACAGCGTCAGAACCATATCTAACTAATTCCTACTTTCAAATATAGGATGAGCAAGAAAAAGGTAGCATGATTATTGAAACAAACTTACAACCGCTGTCCGAAATATCTCCAAGAAGTCTTCTTTAATTTCTCACGGACATCTGATAAAATAGAGTCTTGAGCATAGCGCCACCACAATCTTTGCCAACCATCATCTTTTCTCGACAAAGGACAAGACCAGGGACGATAACGTCCATACCTAAGTCAATGACGAGATTAAATTTTATATGATAATAGAAGTAAAAACAAGAATAACAGATTATTTGAGCTCTAGATGCTATGAATAAGAGAGCAAGTCATCACATAATCTTCCACTAGAGGGTTATCTTAATGATTAGCTAGCTCCACAAGTGTACACACATGCCACAAAATCTCATTAAAAGTAAACTGTAAAAGGAGAAAAAGATCAAAAGGGTGAGAAGCGATAATGCAAGGCAATTGAGGAACTGATTGAAGTATTAAAAATAAATTGGATCTATTCAATTACATGGTTTTAAATTATAGATGTTATTAAAATCAATATTATTTTTTCAATGACCGTTGAGTTTTGCAGAGCTTGATGGTTATGAAGGGGTTTTTAATGGGGCCTTATTCTTATAAAAAAATCAATATTATTTAGCGTCATATCTCGAATTTAGCCTTTATTATGGTTTATTATGGTATAGGTCCTTTGTTCAACATTTAAATCTTATGGAATGTGCAGGGATATGTGGATTATATGAAAGGAATCTTAAAGATCTAAATCCAGCATCAGGAAACATCACTTATGATATTTCTGAGCTTTACAATTTCATTGATGGCCTTGTAGATATGAGTGCCCTTGTAATGATACAGAGAGAGAGAGAGAGAGAGAGAACAAGTTTCGTTTAATCAGACTTCACCACCACCATCCGTCGCCATCTGTCTACTGTCCATCGTTCGTCGTCCGTCGTTCGACACCGCTTCTCTCAAGGAATATCGTTTTTTCTTTGAGATTTCATATTTCAACTTATTTTTGAGAGATCCCCCTTCAATCGGCGCAGATCTACTCGCCTTTCTCTGCCGATTTTCCCGCCTCCGGTCGTCAGTGTTCTTCACCACCTTACCATTGTGTTCGCCGGAAACCCACGTCCAAAACCCAACTTCTTTTCTGTGAAGAATAGTTGCCATTCATCGGGAATCTATCATTCAAGGTTTCAACCTTATCGACTTCCACCACTGTTCCGCAGTGTTTTACGCCGAGCAAGACTTCCTGTGACATCAAAATCCCTAGGAATATTTTTCTCTGCTGCCTTTCGTTCAAAACATTACAGAGAAGAATCCCAGAAATCTTTGTCGCATTCTACAGCCTTATCTCCGTGGCATTATACAAAGGTTCTGGGGGCAACAAACGAGTTATTCTTTGTGTTCTGCCTTTGAGTGTAAGGTGGACATTCCTCAAGAGGGATAACAATGACCTCTATCTCTAACACAAGTCAAATACGAGGTTCATTCCACAGTGGAGTTTCCTGGCCAGTGTTCTTTGACAATCTCAGTAGAATAACTGCAAGGGGCAAATTAAGGGAAGTGTGTATTCACCATGGGAAAGTTATTAGTGTTTTTATTCCTCGGATTAATAACAGAGCTAGGTACAGGGATTCAACTTTCGCTTTTGTGCATTTTGCGAACCAGGGAGAGCAGTTGAATGCGGTCAGTAAGTTGAATAACACAATTTTAGATGGAAGAAAGGTCTCGGTAGGAATAGCTAAGTACCCAAAAACGTTAATTCAACGTCATCCGAGAGGAGAAATTGGTGTTATAATGGAAAAAAGAATGCGAGTATCTCACGGAAAAGTACACAAGGAGGAATTCTTCAACAAGTTTAATGATGGTAGATCTTACAAGGAGGCTCTTGTTGGTAACATTAAGCCTTCAAGGGAAGGTAAGAAGTTGGTTGCGGTGAATGAATCAAAAAATCTGGTCAATTTCTACATTCTAGAGAAGGAAAGAGAGTGGATAAATAGTTCATTAACGGGTATAGTTAAAGATGGCTTTTTTTTTATATAGAAAGTAGGCCTCATTAAAAACCTTCTTCAAGCCCTGCCATGTTATGAAGGTAACATGAAGGAACAAAGGAGGAAAAGAAGAGCTAAATGGATTAAAGATGGGGATAGGAATACGAGGTTCTTCCACCTTTCTGGAAGCAGGAAAAAAATTAATTCCATCATCTCTTTGAAAATTGAAGGTAAAGAAACTTCGGATCCTGAATAAATAAAGGGACATGTTGCATATTTTTTACAAAGGCTTTCAACAATGTCAACGATTGAAATGGAAGATATGAATCTTGGCTTCTCCAGATTATCACATGAACAAAGGGAACGTCTCGAGGTGCAATTTACAGAACAGGAGGTTTGGGAAGCGATCTCGGGATCGGATAGTAATAAGGCGCCCGGTCTGGATGGGCTCACCTTGGGTTTTTTAAGAAGTGTTGGCCTTATCTGAAGGAGTCGGTGATGAAATTCTGTGGCGATTTTTATCAAAACAAGAAATGGGAGCACGGTATTAACCATGCCTTCATTACATTGATTCCAAAGAAATTAAATCCATAATGTTTGGATGACTATAGGCCCATTAGTCTTGTTGGAAGTATGTATAAAATTCTGTCTAAAGTATTGTCGAAGAGACTTATCTCGTGCGTTGATGATATTGTGAGTTCGTCACAGTTCGCCTTTATTCCAGGGAGAAAATTGGTGGACTGTGCATTGATTGCTAATGAGGGCATAGATTACTGGAGTAAAAAAGGACTAAAAGGTGTGGTCTTCAAAGCAGATTTCCGTAGAGCTTATGATACGGTTGAATGGCCAATACTTCTAAAGTTCATGAAAGAAATTGGATTTGGTGAGAGATGGTGCTCGTGGATCTCTTATTGTTTATCCTCTACGTCTATCTATGTTCTTCTAAATGGCACCCCAACAAAGGAGATTCCAATGTCAAAAGGGTTGAGACAAGGTTGCAGCCTATCTCCAATTTTGTTCAATTTAGTTGGGGAATTACTCCATTTGATGTTGTCTAAAGCATTTAATTTAGGCCTTTTCTATGGTTTCAAGGTTGGAGGGTCAAATAATTCATGCCAGTTATCGCATCTTCAGTTTGCAGACGATTTGATAATTTTCTGTCGTGCTTCCCTGGGGCAAGTCAAAAACGTTAAGAGAGTCTTGAGAATCTTCAGTTTGATGGCGTAGCTCAATTTAAATCTCTCGAAAAGTCATTTGTTTGGAATCAATTTGGAAGAAGACGTACTGAAAGATTGGGCTTCATCTATAGGATGATCTGTTGGTTCTTTTCCGACAGATTATTTAGGGTTACCTTTAGGAGCTAAGAAGAATTCAGAGAATCTGTGGGATCCGGTTATACAGAGGTTCAACAAAAGATTTGGCCGGGAGATTGGTGCTCTTGAAATTGGTTGTCTTCTCTTCTGATTTTTTACTTATCCGTCTTCAAGTTGCCGTGTAAAGTAAGTCGGAAATTGAATTTGATGATGGCCAGATTCTTGTGGGGGGCTAGTTCAGAGAAGAACTGTATCCATTGGGTGAATTGGCAATCGGTGTGCCGTCCGATTGAAAATGGAGGTTTGGGTGTGTTACACTTAGATCTGACAAATCGGGATTTGCTATGGAAATGGACTTGGAAGTTTGCAAACGAGAAGAACACTTTGTGGAAGGAGATAATTTGTTGCAAACACAATGTTGATTGCTAGTCAATGTCAGTTAGTTCGGTGCTCTCTACCCAAGATTCATGGATTTGGAAAGGGATAGTCAACAGCTTTTTGAGGAATGATTCGATTGGTGAGAGGTTAAGATCCCATTCTAGGTTCCAGGTAGGTAACGGTAAATCAATTTCCTTCTGGAATGATGTTTGGGTTGATAATATCCCTTTGAAACTTCAGTTCCCTAGATTATATGCTTTGTCTCCAAATAAATTGGGTAAGGTGGTCGATTTTGGTTGTTATGAATCTAGTGGTTGGATTTGGAATATTAAAACAAGAAGAAATTTGAGTGATTGGGAATTGGAGCAATGGCTGGAATTAATGATCAAGTTAAACAACATTCAGTTGACAGAAGCAGTAGATGATTTTTTAGCGTGGTCTGGGAAAGGAGATAGGGCATTTAAGCTTTCGCATTTGCAATTTGCGGATGACCTTATAATTTTCAGTAAAGGCTCTATTCGTGATTTGAGGAATGTCAGAAGAGTGTTATTAATATATGAGTTACTGGTGGGGTTGAAGATTAATCAAGTCAAGAGCAAAATTTATGGTATCAATGTTAAGGATGGGGCGTTAGCTACTTGGGTGAATAATATTGGTTGTTCGGTAGGAAGTTTCCCATCAGAGTATCTAGGTTTACCCTTGGGCTATAAGAGAAATTCGGCTGCCATGTGGGAGCCAATAGTGGAGAGATTTCATGCTAAGTTGAGCGGTTGGAAGTCTAATTCCCTGTCGCTTGCAGGAAGGGTGGTGTTGGTTAAGTCAGTGTTGTGCTCGCTCCCTGTGTATTTTCTTTCCATTTTCAAAATTCTAGTTTTTGTGCTAAAGAAACTAAATTCTATCATGGCTTCATTTTTGTGGGGGGGTGCAGCGGATAAAAAAAATATCCACTGGTTAAATTGGAGTTCGGTTAGTAAACCAAAAAGATTGGGGGTCTAGGGGTCCCGAATTTATTACTCTTGAACAGAGCATTATTGGGGAAGTGGGTTTGGAAGTTTGCATCAGAGAAAGAGTCTTGGTGGAAGAGGGTGGTATGTGGTGTTTATGACTTGGATCCGAAAAGCATAATGATGGGGAATTCGTGGCCAGGCCGTGCATCATGGATTTGGAGAGGTGTGGTTAAAAATTTCTTTTCCGATGATGGTTTTGGGGATTGTATTAGGAGGAATATGCGTTTGAAGACAGGGAAGGGGAACTATGTGCAGTTCTGGAACGATGTATGGTTGGGTGAAGTACCTTTGAAAATACAGTTTCCTAGACTCTATGTTCTTTCGAGCAACAAATCGGGTAAGGTGATGGAGTTTAGGGTGAATAATGGCACTGGTTGGGTGTGGGACATTCAAATGAGGCGAAATTTGGCGGATTGGGAGGTTGAACAGCTGTTGCAATTGATTTCTATGTTGAACAATATTTCAATATCGCCATGTGAGGAAGACTGTTGGATTTGGTCAGGGAATGGTGAGGTCTGTTTTTCAGCTAAATCTTGTATCAACATTTTCCTTGATCAAGATGGTAGTCAGCAGAAGATGGAGATCTGGGAGAGACATATTTGGGCAGGGATTGCTCCTCCACGGGTGGAGACATTTGTATGGCAAGTTGCTCACCAGAGAGTGGCGGTGAAGGAGGAATTACTGAAGCGAGGAGTGGTAGAGATTGATGATCCTTTATGCTCTCTGTGTGGTAGGGAAATGGAATCAGTTTCGCATCTATTTTTGCATTGCGAGGTAGTATGGGGTATGTGGGCCAGATTATGAATATTTGGAATTTGTCCTTTGTGATTCCAAAGAATATCATGGACTTTTTAAATTTGTGGGATGATTTACTTCCGAATTCTTGATATGGAAATTTATTCCAGGGGCGTGATGTGGTCATTGTGGAAATGATGGAGCGATGGTAAAGGGTTGGGATAAGGGAGGCATTGGTGGTTTGATTCGGGACAGTAAAGGTGTGTTGCTTCAATGGTTTTCAGAAAGAGTTGGGGGTGGTCCTCCTATTCGCAGAATTATTGGCGATTAAGAGGGGGTTATGTCTTCTGGAAGATTTAAGTTTGTCCCTAATCGGAGGTTTCTTGAATCTGATTCAAGTAATGCCCTAAAGTGGATCAAGAATCCGGGTTTATGCACTCCTATGTTTCAAGTACTGGTGAAGGAGATAAATTGGGAAGCTGACAAATTAGCTAAGGGGGATAGGGTGATGTAATGGTTTCTGTCTGCTTGTATTGGAGTAGATAATTTTATTTCCTATGTTTAGCTGTTGTGTTTAAGTTTTATGTAATTTCTGGTGGTGTTTGTAGATGTTTAGGGTCTGCCTTTGTTGTACTTTGTTTCATCTAATAAATTCTAGGCACTCTTTTCCTCCTTTCCTTGTCCTTCATGTTACTTTTATAACATGAAGGTTGAAAAAGGGGGTTTTTAATGAGGCCTAATCTTCTATCAAAAAAAAAGTTAGCTAAGGAGGGTATTGGTTGAATGTGTAGAGTTTTTTTGTTGTAATACTTGGTGTTTTATTTCGGGTAGTTTATTGTGTAAATGTACTCTTACTTATTTATAGTTTATCTATAAATTGAGGTACTCTTTTCCTCCTTCCGCTAGTTACCTCTTCACAAGAGCCAACTATGAGGGAGGTTTTTAACGAGGCCTCCTATTTCTATCAAAAAAATGGTATAGGGTTTAGCTTATTAGTACGAGGCTTCCTCCTTTTTTTATATATGGATCAAAAAGTAGGGAAATTTTGTCTGATATTGTTATTTGGCTATTCTCCTTGAATAGCTTTGGTCTCAAATTTCTTATTTCGCATTGTGAAGTCATTCTTACAATCATATTCATTAAAGTTATTTTATTATAAAAATGGAATAACAATTTTAATGGTAGAAACATCCTTCAAAACGAAATGAAAAGCTAATTGATCTAACCACTCATCAAGAAATCATAAAAGCTACAAGTAGCATCCATTTCTCAATGGAAAATACATAGAAGAAAACCAAAAATACTTTATAATTTTCATTTTATTTTGGGTTTTAGGTAAATTCACCAAGCTCAAGTTGGTGTTACATAGACCCATTGCACCAAATTAGTTAAGAGTTCTAATAATAGTATAGACATTCATCAAATTACATGAAAATGTACGTCGATTCCTAGACTTCTAAACCTGCAAGAAATCGGCTAATAGAAATGTAACTGGCAGCAACTAAGAATCAACTTTAACTCCAAGCAGATATACTTAATTCCTACAATAGTCTAAAATCAGCAATTAATGAATTCAAATTACAGTATTAGAAATGAACAAGTAGAATTGGGTGTAATTATAAACATGAAAGCAATAGAAGTTCTTTCCCGTGGTTGTACCACCAAATCATAGTCAAAACTAAGTGAGATCACTGAAATTATAATTATCAAAACAACAGAAGTTCTTATTACAAAGGAGCATCATCAAGTCATATTAAGTAGGCAAATCACTGAAAATAAAGAAAAAGCTTTCAAATTAACATTGGATATAGATGATGGTGAAGAAACATCAAACTTACTTCTCCCGTAACTGATTTGTAGATAAGTAATCTGAAAGGATCAAGATTTGCTGCAACTGAATCTCATTCAAAGACACAACCTTAAAGAATTTAAGAACACAAATTACAATTCAAATATCATTCAAAGTAGTTGACAAAATTATAAAGTGCTTACAATCAGTGAGAAGAAATACTGACCAAACAGGTCATTTTAGCACTGATAGAATACTGAGGCAAATCATTAAGTTTTCCAGATCTGTTCACCTGCATAATAAAAAGGTATGACAGAAAAATCTAAATGTAAATAGTACTTATTCAATGAAAACTTTGTAGTTATTATATAGTAAATTGTAGACATTTGTGTGGTTAGTAGAAGATTAGATTTACTTTGTATCTATCTCTTAGTAGTATAGTGTTATTCTAAGTCTTATACAGATAAAGATAAAATCCAGAGTAGTCCCAATTGTAGTTAAATACTATGTATTTAGTATTCTATAGACTTATATTGTAAACAAATTTTCAATAGCTTTAGCAAACAACAGCGTGAGGATTTACACAAGTTTTAGCAAACAACAGAGTATTCCAAAGTTCAGGATCTGATCAAAACCCCTCCCAAACTGTCAACAGCTTTAGCATTATTAGCAAACAACAGCTTGCAGATTTACACAAGTTGTTAAGCTGGATGTGGTGAGATTGTTCTTTATTGTCCGTTTTAGAATAGCTTCTTGGTTTGTTGCAAAGTTCAAGGATGTGAATATTCCTTTAGACTCTCTTGTGGGAGATTTAAAACTTGCGGATTTGGTGGGAAGACAAGGAAATGGCATCTCTAAACCAATTTGATGGGTTCCTCCTCCGGATGGGTTCTTAAAGCTCAATGTTGATGGAGAGATGGTAAAGGGTTGGGATAAGGGAGGCATTGGTGGTTTGATTCGGGACAGTAAAGGTGTGTTGCTTCAATGGTTTTCAGAAAGAGTTGGGGGTGGTCCTCCTATCTTCGCAGAATTATTGGCGATTAAGAGGGGGTTATGTCTTCTGGAAGATTTAAATTTTGTCCCTAATCGGAGGTTTATTCTTGAATCTTTTTTTTTGATAGGAATGAAAGGCCTTCACCAAAATCCCCTACTTGATTAAGGGAGTTTAGAAGTAAACTCCTTAATCAGCAGAGGCAGTAGAAGAGAGCCTTAGAAATTTTATTAAAATAAAACAGTAACATAAGATACAACCACTACTTCTACAAACAACACATAAAACTTAAAGACTTCTAGGCCAGATCCCCACTAAACAAACGCAGCAGCTAAAACAGCAACAACAGTCAACCAATTCCCTCCTTAGCTAATTTATCTGCCTCACAATTACAGCACCTAGGAATCCATCTAACAACAACCTGTCTAGCAGAAATAGAAAACACGATGTCCTTAACAAAATTAGCCAGAAAAACAGGAGAAGAAATGCCATCATTAATCCATTCCACTGCTGTCTTCGAATCACTTTCAATGATAAGCCTACCCTTCGACGCCCAACTTGAATCTGATTCAAGTAATACCCTAAAGTGGATCAAGAATCTGGGTTTATGCACTCCTATGTTTCAAGTACTGATGAAGGAGATAGTCTTTCTTATGGCAGGGAAGGATATCATTATCAAGCATATTTTGAGGGCTGCAAATTGGGAAGCTGACAAATTAACTAAGGATGGGATAGGGTGATGTAATGGTTTCTGTCTGCTTGTATTGAGGAGTAGATAATTTTATTTCCTATGTTTAGCTGTTGTGTTTAAGTTTTATATAATTTCTAGTGGTGTTTGTAGATGTTTAGGGTCTGCCTTTGTTGTACTTTGTTTCATCTAATAAATTCTAGGCACTCTTTTCCTCCTTTCCTTGTCCTTCATGTTACTTTTATAACATGAAGGTTGAAAAAGGGGGTTTTTAATGAGGCCTAATCTTCTATCAAAAAAAATATCATTTGCTAATCAGATTGGCTGTACAAAATGGATTATGAATTTGGGGGTTCTGATCATATGACAGGAGGGACATTTCTTTATTTCAAAACTTCTAGAAGCTGAGGCTCATGTCAAGACTGCAGAGTCGCTCACTATCAGCCATTGAAAGGAGTGGTTCAGTTCAAATTAATCAAAATATTCAGTTGAATGATGAGTTTTATGTTCCCAAACTTGCTTGCAATTTGCTTTATGTCGGCAAACGCTATATTGATTTATAGTGCACCACTAAGTTTGCTAAAAATATTTGTGAAGTTCAAGAGATGAACTTGGGTAAGATGATTGGCAAAGCTAGCTGTGTGGTAGACTCTACGTCTTTGAAGGGCATCTACCTCCCAAGGGACAAGTTAATTTCAGTTGTTTTAAGTTTGTTTCTGATTCTTTACTGAGATTCTGTTATGACACTTCATATTAGGTCATCCAAACTTCCATTATCTTGCAAAATTGGAACCAAATTTATTCATCAATAAAAGTCCCAAGTTCTTTTCATGTGATATTTGTAAACTTGCCAAGCATATTAAAACCACTTATTCTCCATCATATAAATCTTCTCACTTTTTTCCCTAATACTCGAGGACATTTTGGGCCCTTCAAGAATAAAGAACCTAAATGGGTCTAGGTGGTTTATTACTTTCATAATGATCATTCTGGTATTACATGAACCTTCTTAATGAAAGAAAAATCAGAAATTGGTTATATAGTTGAAAAGACTCCTTAAAGAATTAAGGCATAATCAATGTCAAAACATTGAACTCTACAGTGATAGCCAGTCAACTATCAGTATTGTCAACAACTCAGTCCATCATGACAGAACTAAGCATGTGGAGATTGATAGACATTTCATCTCAGAGAAAGTCAATCGTGGAAAAGTATATCTTTTTTTGTCCCTACCAAAGACCAGCTAGTTGATGTTCTTACCCAAGAAATAGCCTAGATAAGATAACATCCAATCTGAGATTCTACAATGTATACTCACCAACTTGAGGGAATGTGTAAATTGTAGATGTGTGTGTGGTTAGTAGAAGATTAAGTTTACTATGTATCTATCTCTTAGTACTATAATGCTATTCTAAAACTTTAGTGTAGATAAAGATAACATCTAGAGTAGTCTTAATTGTAGTTGAACGCTATGTAATTTAGTCTTTTATAAAGACCTATGTTTTAAACAGATTTTTCAAGAGAATATAGAAGAAAACACATTGTTTTCTCTTCATAGAAACTCCTATCATCTACATATGCTATCCTCTCGAAACACATTGTTTTCTCTTCATAGAAACAGACTTATGTTGAGGGACTTTTTTGTTGTTGTTACATGCATTTGCAATCAATTTGCATAAAATTTCTGAGTTACGGGAATTGGTTTCTTATGCTATCCTCTAGAAACTCATGTGCATTACCAGTTTTGGATTTGAATGCATTAGCATAGAATCAGAAGATTAAGGTTACCTAACAAAGTAAATACGGTTAAGCCAAGCCTAAACTATGCAAACTTGCACCAATTTTTCATGACATTTTTTGCTGTTACAGTTATTGGTTTCAATAGCAACCTTTCAAAGCTTGTTAAGCAGGTTCTGACTTTATTCCAAAAGATAAAAGGTTAGGGTATAAGCATTGTTAAGCGAAGGGAAAACTTCATAATCTTTATCAAGATTATCTCAGGCAGGCTTTCTAAATCTCAATATTAAGTTGAATACAAGCAGAGCTCAAAATTTAGATATGTCAAGTTCTCAACATTTAAGAACTTGCCCTAATTCATTCGCACCTCTACCTAACAAGGCTATAAAAAATTTTAACCTTCTAAAAAGGCTACCCTCCCGAAAATGAGAACTTTTAACCAGTGACATAAACACATAATCTTTAGACTCATAACCTGTCTTTTGCACTTATATTCTCATGAATGCTTCCACTCTTACCATCACTGGAACAGAAACCAGAAAACAAATGTTCAAAATTAGCATATTTCCTTTGAAAAACAATCGAAGGCAATTCCTCTATCTCCCTATCCCACATAAAATCCAGACAAACAAAACTACGTTTTTCATTTTTGTGCCATCATCTTGTGGACTGCTGTAATTAATATAACGGTCATCTAATTCAGGAACATATTTTAAACTGAATTAAGACTTCTTGAAAAATGGGAAAAATAACATGCTTCAAAAAATGCCTACAATAAGGATGTGAGTAAAACAAAAAGCACAGGGGAGAGAGAGAGTTACAGATTAATAAAACCCACAAGATATTACATGACTTTTGTCATAAAAGAGACTAATAGAAAATGAATTGTTATTAGAAGAAAAGAACAACAAATATCCTGAAGAACAATGTTCGTGAAATATATAACTAGGATTGTCTTAAAAGCAGCTCCATAGCTTTGCTACAAAGTAAAAACTATAGTTTTTCTTTTCAGCACATGCAGAGGTGCAGAAAAATCACCAACCAAAAGCTTACATTACATAGAGACTACAACGAAATTCAAACGGGAATAAATCTTGAGCAAAAGAAATAAAATCTCAGATAAAATTTGCATACCAAAAGAGACAGTGATACGTTGAATGGCTCTACTATATGTTCAGGCTTATCACCAACAAAGTGTGAATTGAACCAAGATTCAAAAACACTAACATTGCTCAGGCTCAAATCCTTGCCAACATCCTTGGAGACGCCACAATAAATTTCTAACCCTTCAATCTCCACAATTTTGCTCACCTGACCCATTTTCAACCTGCATTAAAAAGCAAGAAAGTATAAATGCATTTGAAAGTAAAGAAAATTACATATCAAGAATATAATAAGGATCAGAATTTGAACTTTGTTTTTTGCATAACTGATGAATAAGTAAAAGAAGAAAACAAAATGCAAATTCAGTTTGCTATTGGTGACTTGTGCTTAAAAAAATTAAAGCATGATAATGTACATTTCACACACAAACCAAGCCACAACTATCATTACCGTTAAGCTGAGGAAGTTCAAATAACTTACTTCTTGAAGTCACTAAGACAGCCTACGTGGAAGAGAAGGCATGACTGTGAAAATTAAAATGAGCATCAAGAGCATTACAGTAGACCAAAGAAATTACCCAGCGGAATTTTGCTTTAACATTGTCAAGCTAGAAAATCTTAAACCAAATAAAACCTGCTCCTGCAAAAACATTCAAGTGAATAAATGTTTTAGAACTTTAATAGAAATAAGTTGCATAAAAATATAACAAAGAGAAAAGTTCATATAACAACCTAATAAAAAGGTAATGCCAATTTTTAAAGAAATTACAAATAAATCTAAAATTTAAAACAAGGATTCCTCAAAGAATCCATACATTACTAAGCCTCTGTTCAGTCTAAACATGTACACATAAACATCACAAGCTTAGTTTATTGAAGATCTCTAATTCTATCTCCCTCGTTACATAAGTAATTACCAGTTATTGCAGCCAGATGCAAAATAAAGACATACTTATTTTTTTATATCACTATATGATCAAGTAAGTGATTCACAAGGAAAAACTACAATGGTAAAGTTCCAGCGTTCGTATCACCAAAAAAGGACAATAAAGTGTACAAAAGAAAAAAAAGAGCAATACCAACAGACAAAAAAATAATCGCAGAAGGCATACAAACAATAGAAAGAAACGTGGGTAACCTAAACAGCAGCAATTGATATAGCATTAGATTACGTATGATAAATGAAATATAAAACATTACAAGAGTTCCTATAGAAGAAGCATAAGGCAGGAGAAGATGGTATGCTTACTGAATTTGATTGCATGTCACTGTACAAAACATGGAAATTTCTAATGGACACCTGGATATTCTCAAGAACCTAGAGGGAAAAACCAATTGTCAGGAGTATCGAATATATTCAGAAGTCAGAACAATGTATTTGCAACATGCAGAAACAAAATCTGAAACAACAGAGGGAGCAATTAATCCACACAACCATACAATGAAATTGAACAATATATTTATATGCATAAATACTGAACGGAGAGGATCAGAGGAAACAAAGAAAGGGTTACAAAAAATGGAACCTTTGTGGTAACAAAGGGAATGAATGACCACCCTCCTTTATTATCTGCATGGGTTCAAAAAAAATAGATTAATCCACAACCATCAATAAGCTTAAAACATCACCAAATATCACAATTTGCTCTAGAAATTCAAAAATATATAGATATAATAAATAACTGACTAACCACAAACACGTAGTGATAGTTTAGCAAGCTCAGCGGCAGCAAGCTTAGCCTTCTTGCCAGCAAGTTCTCTTGTTTCAATGGCATCCATTCTCCACTGCCACAAAATTCATAATAAATATATTAGAGTTTTTCTTTCCTTTTTTTATTCAAAGAAATGAAGTGAGATAGATGAATAAACAAATACCTCATGATCATCCCTGGGGGTTACGGAAAAGAAAACATTCTCCAAAGCAATAAGAATGGGTTCACCTCCAATCAAACTCCAAGGAACCTTAATGCTGAGCCTCCCAACTCGACCTTGCTTCAAAGCAAAAGGTAATTGCAGATAATCAAAGGCTTCCAGAATGAGGTCTATGTCCTTCAATTCAACCTCAATGTTCCAAAGAGTGACCTTCACCTGGTCCCTCGAGAAATCCTTGACATATCGCCCAAGATATCCTAGTAGCACCTGATGAACCACTCTTTCCAGCATCTTTTCCTCCCTTTTGCTTTCGAACTAAAATGGGGACTTTTCTAGCATCGCCCCAAATTCATTCACGCACCCACCATCTAAAAGCCCAAATACTAAAGATAGTACAACAGCTGGAAATTTCGATCTGTTCTCCCTTACCTACATACAAGTGGATGATCCGACAAACAAAACCCTAAAACCAACCTTTCAGAAAAAGTAGTCCTCTAGTATTTTTTCTACTAGAACAAAAAACGCATCTTTGCTGCGCTGTAGGTTTAAACTTTTAAGGTAAAGTACACAAATAGTCACTAAACTATATTGAAATAATTTTTTTGACAATTGAAGTTTCTGACATTGCAAAATAATTACTGAAATTATCAAATTATTATAAAATAGTCATATATATTATACATAGTGATACATTTTGATAAATTTAAGGACTATTTTTGTAACATTTTGATCAAATTAATTACTATTTTGTAAATGATCATTTTATAATAATTTGACAAAGTTTAATGACTATTTTATAATTGTTTAGGAAGTTTAATGATGATCTTGTAACTTATAAAACTTCAATGGATAAAAATATTATTTAAGTATAGTTTAGTGATCATTTGTCTGCTTTAACCAAAATTTTATTATAATGATTTTCATTTAATAAAAATTAAATTCAAATTAAATAAATATAAAAATTAGATTTAAGCTTTTTTATTTATGTATAATATCTATATACATTTAAAAATATGTTTTGACTCGTATTTTTATTTATAAAAAGTTAAAGAAATGAAATATATTTTTTAATATTTTATTATTTTATCACATAATTAAGAAACATATATAACTATGGAAAATTCTCGAATAAGATATTTATCACTAATTTTATAAGGTGAAATTTAAAAAAAAATCATTAAATTATACTAAAATGATATCTTAAGCACTAAAATTTGAAAAATTACATAATGTACAATAAATAGATTTTGTTACAAAACGAACGTAACATCATTAACTGTCATTAATGAGATGATGTGGCATACTAAATTAATGACAAATATTTCATTTGGCCCTTCAATTGTATTTAAAATTTCATTTTATTTTTATTTTTAATTTTAATTTTTTATGTAAATATCTCATGTGGAGAATTATTGGAAAAAATCGATATTTTTGTAGTTTTGAATGAGAAATTGATCCAAACATTGTTAAGAAAAATGTGGAACCAATTGTTGGTTCATAAATGTGCATACGTGCACATGTGGGTAACTCAAATGTAATACCCCAAATAGTAGGTCAGTGACTAATTTGAAAGGAATTAAATTTTGGAGGACTAAATTGAATAAAAGGTAAAGTATAAGAAATAACTTAAGTAAGACCAATGTGTAAGAGATGGATTAATGGAAGAGCATTTTGGTCTTTTTAAGTGAAATGAATTTAAAACCTATTTACATTCTAGGGATTTAATAAAAAGGGAAAGTAAGTCAAAGAAGCTATTTTTCTTCTTCTTTCTTCTTTCCCGTGGGTTTTGCTCTCCTCCATAGCTCCCAAGGTAAATTTTAATTAATTAGTTTTTCCTTTCGATTATGGGTAGTTCTTGTAACCATAAGTGATATATAAGCTTAAAGAAAGGTTATATATGATAAAAATTATGAGATGAAATAAATAATAGAGAATTAAGAAAATGGGTTTTAAAATGATATGTTAAAATATGAGTATTTATTTAGGTTTATTAGTAGAATTGACTTGTCATAGAGGTAAATGAAAGATTAGAAGCATTGGATGAGTGCAAAAACAAGCTAGAGATTTTGGTGTGATTATTAGAATCAAATGCTCTTGAGGGATACTAGATGTTTTAAGTAACTAAATGAAGGAAAGTTAGTATGGATAAGTAGAGAAGAGTTAAATAGCATTGTTGGGTGTAAATATAATGAAATTTGGCCCCATTTGGATAATAATCGGGTTAAAAATTGGAAAATTTGGGCAAGGATATCGGTACTGATAGAACAGTATCGATACTATAAACTAAAATGGGATGAATTAGCTAAGTAGTATCGATATTGATTCAATCAGTATCGATATCGACAAGGTAGTATCGATACCATGGAAAGGGTATTGATACCAAGCATCATCAAAGCTAAAATTGGTATCAATACCGGAAGGGGGTATCGGTACCATAGTATGATAGTATATATACCATGGTTAGGGTATCGATACTAGGCAACATCAAACCTAAAATTGGTATCGATACCGAAAGGGGGTATCGGTACCATAGTATAGAAGTATCGGTACCAAGGTAGTAGTATTGATACTATTGAGCTTAGAACGACCAATTAGGTTGAAATTGCTATAGAAATTGAAATAATGATATTTTGAATATTCTTAAAGTAAAAGGTTAAGGAGTATACTAACATTGGTATGTTATGTGTACTTAATGGATACTTGTGTAGAACGGAACTAAGCTCTTGAATCTAGTAAGAAAAGGGAGAAAATAAAGATGTTGATTTGTCAGAAGTCTCTACACTTTATTAACGGGGATTACCAGGTGAGTATCTTGTTGTAAGTATGTAAGAGGAAGAACATTCAAATTAGATTGTTTAATTTTATATATGTTTTATAATATTGATTATGTTATTTATATATGTATGGAAATAATATTATGAATATGTTTTAGAGTATGAACTGCTCTAGAACGAATGAATAAAATAATAATGCATATGGGTGCATTATTGACATGAAAGGATGCCATATCTGAAATGCATATGGGTGTATTATCAGCATAAAAGAATAATGCATATGGGTGCATTATTGGCATGAAATGATGCCATAGCTGAAATGCATATGGGTACATTATCAACATAAAAGAATAATGCATATGGTTGCATTATTTGCATGAAAGGATGACATAGTTGAAATGCATATGGGTGCATTATCAGCATAAAAGAATAATGCATATGGGTGCATTATTGGCATGAAAGGATGCCATAGCTGAAATGCATATGGGTGCATTATCAACATAAAAGAATAATGCATTTGGGTGCATTATTGGCATGAAAGGATCCCATAGCTGAAATGCATATGGGTGCATTATCAGCATAAAAGAATAATGCATATGGGTGCATTATTGGCATGAAAAGATGCCATAACTAAAAATGCATGAAAGAATGCATTAAGGCATGAAATGATGCCATAAATAAAATTAACGAATAATTATTAAAGAAAAATGAAAAAGAGATGTATATTGGACGTACGAAGGATTTTTATGATAAGAATTATGAAAGAAGTTTGGTTTCAGTAATAGAGATTTATTTAATCCTTATGGATGATACAAATTATTTCAAAAACTAAGAAATTCATAATAAGTTTATGAATTTTAATATTAGTAGTGGGTATGCAACTTATCTAAATTATAGTAAGGGTTAATAAATGACGGTATTAACACTAACAATGTAAACTATAGAATTTATAATGAGTTGAAAGAGTTCGTTGGTATTATGAATAATTATTATAATATAAACTGTTTTAAAATACAAGATTATGGTCTAACTGTGAATTTGACAGAAAGGTGTCAATTATGCCAGTTAGATAAACGGTTAAAAACTGTTGAGTAAAAGATGATTGATTAAACATTGTTGAGTAAAAGAATAATGGACTAGTTGTACGTTTGATAGAAAAGTGTCAAATATGCAAGTTAGATGAAAGGCTAAATACATTTGGGTAAAAGAATAAAGGAATTAGAATGTATAGTAATATGAATGGTGCATAAGTGATATGAAGGGATGATATATATATAATGTGCAACAATGCATAACTATTATGAATGGATGATATAAAGGAAAACGTAAACGAGACATAATGGGCATGAAAGAGTGCCCAAATGAAATTACAAAATGGTTTATTAATAGTATTTAAGGTGCCGCCATGTTGATTATAACAGATACAGGATCAATTGGTACCTTGGTGAAATACATGTATACTAATTTCACATTTGTTGTACACATGGCAAATAAAAAAATAAAGGGGGAAGTTATACAAAAGGATAAGTATGATGGACATATTAAGAATTATGGTTTAACTGGTGAGGGTTTAACTGGTCCTTATGAATGATGAAATTAAATTATCCATTCAGTATTTATGAGATATTGTCGTATAATTGTAATATCCTTGCAATATTATGTCTCACTAAGTAAATACTTAATATGTGTTTCTTTCATGCGTAGGTAAAGGCAAAGATTAGTTGCGTAAAGGAGTGTAGCAATAGCAACAACTTTCATCAATTAAAGGTGGACTCCTCAGTAACATTATGACAATCTTATTCATTTTGAGAACATAGTCTGCATGTAATCAAACTGTAGTTAATAATTTGTAATGTATTTAGGTGATAGTTTTAGTATATTGCTTTTACAAATATCATATTTTATAGTTGATCAAATTGAAACATATTTTTACGGGTTTTCAAATGACAAAAAGTTTTATAGCGTCATGTGACCTCTGTATCTCGTGTACGGAAAGGTATACGAGATATGGGTGTTACATCAAATGTTTGAACCGATCATGCTCTCCGTGGGCTTACGGGTATTTAAACCCAAATTTGAAGTATTTTTCCTCAAATAGAGTATATATTTTCAGATAAATTTGTTTTGAAATTAAAATGATAAATAATAAAAGGTTCATTTAATTCATACAGTAATTTTGGAAATTGTTTATTATGGTTAATTCTCTTTTATTAAATGCTTCATTATGTCAAAAATTTTCAATAGTTCACTATGTGAAACCCCTATAAATACTGTGTAAACTTGTTAGGTTAAAAAAATACACAACTCAAAAGGAATTATTTTATTCTCCTCTAATTTTTCGGTGATAGATGAAGACAAGTGAATAGTTTGTGATATTTGCAGGAGTGCAACTATAGCTGATCATTTAGCTGTTGTATCTAGGGAGGCAAACGACCAATGATCTCAAGCACCACAAGAGTGACCGAAAATTTGTCTTAATGAAAATGCATAGCTGCAAACCTCTACTTGTTTCCAAGACGTTAATATGAAATCGTGTATTTATTTCTAAATTATTCTTCTCGATTATTTAAATAAGATTTTTTTATTTTATCGTCTCGAATCGTTATATTTTTAACTTTATTCGTGTGAAAATACATTATGAACATCGATTTGAATAGTAAAAAAAATAAATAGTTTTTATCCTAATAGATTCCATCCATATAAATACATAAG